TTATTACCTTGAAGTTTGATTTATTGCCACTACAGTGAATACTGACATTAATTATTTACATGGTACAATCTGTCTTTAAAAAGTCTTTTTTTGGTTCTTTTTTTTTTTTTGTATTTTCTTTCCTTTTTGTGATAGGAAGAAAATGTGAATTTAATCCAGTTTTGCTTCTAAAGAAGGTAGATACTGCATGGAACTTGTTTTACATGCTGGCTACCCGCTTTTTTAAGAGTTTTTCTAGATTCACATCTCCTGTGTTTCTTTACATCCTCATTAAAAATCATTTTCCCTGATTAAAAAAAAAAAAATTTTTTTTAGAATTTATTATTTCAGGAACATTCATAAACTGTCAGCACTAACCCAACTATTTATAGATATCATTTATTTTTTTAATAACTGAATAATGTCTGCACTTTGAATTGGATTGTAGCCATTTTTCTTTTTATACTTAGTGTTCATATATAAGAGAGTAAAAAAGAAAAAAAAATGATTTCCTCTATCTCCTTCACCAAAATTTTGTTCTGACTGACTTTGTCTTCAGCTGTTTCTGGTTTCTCAGGTTTTAAGTTTCTTAAATGCTATCAGTGAAAACTTGACTTTAGTGAATATGACAGTTTGTTTCATTTGGAAAGATATAATCCTTTTCTCCTGAGATTTGGAAGTAGACTATATTGGTTGCCTTGCCTTTAAGGAAATTTACAAATAGTTACCTACTTCTTTCAGACATTACAATAATTGTCTTTCTTTGCTCTACTTGTTTGAGAAATTACACTACTCAGCTTTTTAGTAGTTTTGATTAGTTAAAACAAAAATTTGCTAAATAACTTAAATTTGGAGCATTTTCTAAATCCTGTACAGGAATGATGAAAGATCTTTAAATTTTGTAGTTAACTTTTTTAAAGACTTTATATTGAATATATTTTATATTTTTGTAAAATGATAAGTTTGCTTTTTAGTCAAAAGATAAACGCCACTTTTTTTGTGAGTGGAATTATGAAGAAATAAATTCTTCCTCACTTGAAATCCTTGAAGAACTGAATGATTATATGTTGGAATTTTTATCTTGACAGAAAATCTGTAATAATATGAACTTAATTTAAGTACTTTGAAATATTATTTTCACTGAAATCATTAACAAGCCTGTGTTATAAAGTTTGAGTTATTGGCCTTATTTAGAGAGAATTAGCAAATATTTATTAAAGTTGTGACCAACAACTACACTTAGTACAGACGTTTTCAGATTTGTAACAAACTCTAAATTAAAAATGATACAAAGTTCAGTGGGTACTTTAATTATTAATTATCTTTTATAGGTTGTTAAATTTTGTTCAAGATGTGATTTTCATTTTTTTTTAATTTGTTAATAAGAATTTAATTTTCACGGCCATAATATATTGAAACAATTTAAATATTGTTTTGTTTATTATTATTTAACTGTAAATCTGCTAAAGTTTTTTTATAGTTCTGTTATAGTTTTCTGAAATAATTTCATTTATTGCATAGACGTTTGTTGAAATTTTTAAAAAGAATTAAGTCAAGATTTGATGACATAATTACCCTTTTAGCTTATTTCTCAAACTTGTTTTAATTTTGTAAAATTATGAACAATATATATTTATCAACTATTGCTTTGCTAACTTAAATTATGCATAAAAATTGATATCTATTTTTTCATTTAAGATTTAGAATGAATTAAACTTCTATTAGACTGATTTTTTTCCCAAGACTTGCTTACTTCAATAGCTTATAAAAGTTGTACATATTGAATTTTATATGAATTTTTAACATTTTCATTTGGTGACTTTTATATGGAGGATGAGAAGATCAAACTTTTACTAACTTAAATTCATTACATCAGTTAGGAGAGTAGAACTTTAGGATCTTTTTATTTTCTTCACAAGTTTCAAGGTTTCATTTAGCTTTAACCTGTCATATATTATTAATCTTATTCTACTAACAAAACCTTATGCTGGATTATGTTTATTTTCTAGTCAATTGACCATGTTTGTTTCACTTCATGTTTTTCATAAATATTTTGCATGTAATTTACTAACAAAATGTTAACTATATAAAGTGTGTTTTACTTACTGGACAATTCTTTCATGTTAAAAGAATGCTAAGTTTTGAATTATTGATATTTGGGAATATAACAAAGCTTGAAATTAACAAAAAATTAGAGCTTAATAATATCTGTAATTGCTTTTATTCGACTTAAAATTTATATTAATGATTAATAGTTTGGGGCTTATGTCAAATATAAATTTTGAATTATCCAGCTTGTAATTATAATTATAGACATCTGCAAAAATTGCAGTAATTCTATTTTTTATTCTTTAATTCTTTGTATTATTGATCTATATATACAGTTTGGGCAAGTAACAATGTATTTGATAATGTCAGATATAATTTCAAATTTACACAAATATTCATAAATAGTATTGCTTTCAAGTTTGATATTCTTAATTTAATGTATAAACTTTTTGAATCATATACATTGCTATTAGCTCTATTCAATGAAATCTAAAAAAAAAAAAAAAACCTAAAAAAAACTTCAATGGCAGAAATTTTAATATTATTTTTATCTCTATCTAACAGGAAACCATAAAGTAATTACACATAGTAATAGTTTTTGAAAAAAGATATAGCAATTATTCTTTGGTTTAAAAATTACAGCTTTTTTCATAACACAAGATATACTGAATTTGAATCAAATTTCCTGTTTTTGAAAATAGAAACAGCCTTTTCATATTCTATACATATTTTCTATATTAGATGCATCTATTTAAATCTATTTAAATATTTGATAAAAGTAAATTTGGATCTTCTGTTCAAATGAGTGAGACCAATCTTGAACTTATTACAGTAGCCAATGTTTACTGATTGTCTGTGAGTGTTGTTTTTTTGCTGACAAAAGATGTGAAATGTTAGCCTCTTCCCAAAAATCTAATTCATCTTACAAAAAGATAGATTATTATCTATTGAGACATTTTGATTTTAATATTTTTTTGAGAAAATTGTTGGCCATTATTCTTAAAAATATTTGTTCATTTAATAACTTTATAGTATTTCATAGTGATTATGCATCAAGAAAGGTTATTTTATCTTGATGGTGCATAGAAGGATTAACTCCCCTTCTTTATACTTTCTCGTAAATTCAGAATTCAAAAATGTCATTCTTGAGTTTCATTAGATTTAACTAATTACCAGTTGGGCATTATGACTAATTATCATACAAAGATGAATAAATACTATTTATTTGTTTTATGAAAATTAATATTTTTATAAAATGAGATTTGATTATTTACTTGGTATTATTTACTTTATAGTTTGTGTAGTATATAAAATAAAACTTGCATTTAATCATAGATATGCAGTATAAATAAGTTATTTCAAGGAAAAAGAATACATTCTTTTAAAGTTTTTATTTTTAATAAAATTCTCTAGATATTTTAGCTCTTTTCATTTCATTAAAGTTATTTAGATTTCAATATGCTTTTATAAAAGTAAATTTTAAATTCTTATATAAATATTTAGAAGCAACCAGTTTCAGTCATTGAAATTTTATAAATTACTTTGAAAAGTTTATTTAATTATTGGGACTTAATAAAATGCTTAATTTTATTTTAGTGTTTTGGAAATTATAATCATTATTTTTTGTGGATATTTCTTAAGTAAAGTGATTATTAGATTGGAATTGAGTTTCTTTATTCTTTATATTCCAAAGAAGACAGTTAATGTTCTTTGTGATGTTCCTTTTTGATTGTATAAAATTATTGCACATGAAAAAAAAAAAAAAAAAGGAAGAAATCTGATAAGGGCAGGTGGATTTGATAAATTCTGCAGGCCTTGAGAATTGCAGCTGTCAAATAATGAAACTATTTCAAGTTAAAGAATAACTTATTGAAATTTAAAAAAGAAAATGTTGCATTATAAAGGCGATATGACTTTGTTTATTAGAGATTGGCAGCTGAATTTGATAGATCAATTGCATTCTGGACAACAAGGAAAATGTATTAACCCTATTCTCTTGAGTAAAATTTATGGTTTCTAACCACTTCACTTTTTTTCTCTAGGGATAAAAATGTAATGTGATAATTTATTTTCCATTCCAAATTTTTGTAATGATTCTTTTAAAATGAAATATTACTAAATTTTACTGAAAGTATTCCTATTTATTTAAGCAGGCAAAAATAAAGTTCTTCATTAAATTATCTTAAGGAGAAAGAAAAAGCTCCTTTCTAATGTGAAAGAAATCATTTAGATTTAATTTGATGGAAATGCCTAACTAGTAAATAGTTATGATTTTATATGATTCTGCCACCTATTTAGTATATTTCCAGATCTCAGCAATTTTGATGTATGGTTTCATTATACAATTGATTGTAAATTTGAATATGATTCAGTTTCCCAGAATATATTTTCCATACATTGTAACTCTCATCAATTAAGCACACTCACAGACTCTTAAAAATTTCTTAGTTACTTTAGGAGTTATAATGCATTTTGCTTGCTGCATTAAAATATTTTACATATTTTATCTTATAACAAATGCTAAATTTGTAAGCAAAACTTTTTGAGCTTATAAAATGAGCTTCTATATATTGCATCAAATCACATTCTTAACAAAACTGCAATTTATATGTAGTGTTTTATCATCTTAAGTCATATGATATTTAGTAAATAAACTGGTGTACTTTAAAACAACCCAGAGAATAATTAATATTTTGACTTTTACTATTTCAACTGCTATTCATTCTGCTCATGTATACATTAAAAAAATATCTATTAATATGTATTCCCATATAAACTTTTCTTTTAATTTAACATCTGTAATATCTAAGAATTAAAGAAAAACTAGAAAATGAATAAAAGATTGTCAGCTGGAAAATATCTTTCTTGTAATATACTATCATTAACTAATAAAAATTGGCCTTAGTTTTTTTTATAAAGAAAATGCTATATCTTGCATCCTTATTTGATTTTTGCTTTTGTCATTGTTTTAGGAGCCCTTCAGATTGAGCGCAGTCAAGAATCAGACGTTGGCAAGTATGAATGTGTTGCTGAAAATGAAAAAGGCGTTGACTATTCCTATGCTGCAAATCTCTACGTCAAAGGTTGGTAAAAACTTATATCTTCTCAGGAATCACACAAGTTTCTGTCTTATTGTCAGTTTGATAGACATTCTTAGATAAACTAATTTTAAGCACGAATCCTGATTAGTAATTTATATATATCATATTTGTGTGTGTATATATATATATATATATATATATATATACACACACACAAGAAATATGAAATATAAAAATTTGTCTAGCAGGAGTCTTAGAAATATTGCCAAATTGCTCCTATATCTTGAAATATGATAAGTTTCTATCTTTTTAGACTATGAATAACATTTTGCTCATAAATATGAAAAAAAAAAATACTGGAAACTTTTTAATCAGATAAACAGAATCTGTATCTCCCTATCTGCTCAACTTGAGGCAATGACTCTGGATGTTTACACACTCAGATATTACTACTTATATCAAGCTTCTCCTCCTTACATGTAATTTTTTTTCTTAGTAGGTCTGCTTTTATGTATACCTACTCCATATCTTTCAAAGAGCCTGAAATAGTAGCTTCTTTGAAGTGGGTGGTGTATCTATTTCTCTCTTGCTCTTTTTTTTTTTTTTTTTTTTTTTTTAAATTATTGGTGTTTGAGCCTAGGTGTGGCATTATAAATTTTGGGAGATACAGTGCAAATATCAATATTTCACTGTTAAATATTAAAATGCTGCTTATTCAACATTACACACTTTCATGTAATTTTAATACATCTACATTTATCTAATATCTTAATGGATGCTATTAAAATGTGATAGCAAGAAGTTAAAAAAAAAAAAACATGATTCAAATGATAGTATTTATAAATGCTTTGGTAAAATTGGTTAATTGGAGGGAATTCTGAGGACATGCTAGCTAATGTTTTAGCCTTGTTGAGATATGAAGATAAGGGTCTAATATTTTGCTCATATTTTTAAAGGTTTCTTTTTGTATTTAACATATTATGGAAAAACCTTTTAATAATGAATTAGTTTTATTTCAAATATTTGTTTCTAATATGTAAAGATTATTTCTTTAAATGTGCTGTTAATCTTCATATAATTTTCTTAGTAATTTTCATGTAACTATTTAGTAATTAGATATTTAATATTTTATTAAAAGGAAATTCTTGGTACTTTCTTTTGTGATTCCTTAAAATGAATTATTGTCTCAGAATTAAGTTCTTATGTTTTCTTAAAGATTACCTGCTGTTTTTTATTGCAAAGTTCACTTGTCTATTTTATACATGTATTTTAATCAGACTAGTTTCTTTTTATTTATGTAGCAGCAGAATCAAGCAATTTTCAGAATCAACTTATGAATTGGTTTTTCCAGTTTGTAGCAGTTTAACAAACCAAAACTGCCAAGCTATTCTTTAAAACTTGGCCCTTGCTTTTGTTTTCAGTGAAGAACTAAATTATTTTGTCTTTCATATGGTGATTCTTTTGTATCAATTATATCATCCTGAAGTGAACTAAAAGAAAAGTTTTGCTTAATTTGCCTTTCAGTTGTTAATCCTGTTATTCTTCAAGTGCATTCCTCAAGAGATTCATTTGGGAAAACTAATCATTCAGATACCATATTCATCCTGATGCATATAACCACCAAGATAGAAAACATTACATGAAGATTAGAAACTTACAAATTAAAACATTGTGAACTTGAAATGTCTCTTTAGGATGGGCTTGGAACCTGAATAATTATCTTTACTCAATGTCTATGTATCTCTCATCCTATAATTAAGAAAGAGTTGTATTAGCACATCATTTCAATACCTTCACTAATTAATGTTATTTAATTAGGTTGTATTTAAATAGTGAAAAGAAGTGTTTTTCACTGTCTCTTTGCATGTTGTTAAATTATAAGGAACAATACAAATCATTTTGATTTAAGTTCACTGTTATAAAACTTTGGCTTAGAAAAAAGATATGCAATTTACTTAAATGACAATAGCACAAAAGTATAGAACTGGTCTTATCTTTGATGTTGGGAAGGTTTTTGTTTGGTATTTTGAGTTTAATAAATTGTTAAGAACCTATTAGATTTTGTCCGCAGATTAATTTTAGTACATCTCTTGGAAGAAATTTTGGAGATTACTTGGACTATATATTTTTTGAAGCTTATTTTTTGATGTCTTTATGAAAATCTTTAACCAACTTCGAATTATAGTATATGCGGATTGGAAAATTAAAATTTTTACTTTTAGAAGGAATATCCATTTAAATGAACTATTATAAAAATGCCATTTTCACATTCAACATTAACTTATAACATATTTTATGTATAGTAAATTTTATATGTTGAGACAATGTACATTTTTGTTTTTTAATGGAGATTTTCAGAAAGTAAAAAGATTATTACTTTCTCTTTGTCATACTCAAGAAATACATGATTGCTTAATTAATTTGTTAGGAAATACAGCAATTCATTTAATGCCTATTATATTACTATGTCATTCTCAAAACACTTCATTAGATTCTATTGGGTTGGAACAAAAGTTTGTAGTGTTTTTTAAGTGTAATTAAAAAAACTGGTTAGATATATTTACATATATTTACTCAACCACGCATGTGCCATTTTGTTCCATTACCTTTTGCTATCTTTGAGTCAGTTTCATGATTCCATCCTCTCAGAACTTGGTATCTTTCTGGGCAATTAACTACTCCAAGTGGTTTTACAAGCTTCCAAAGAATTGAAATTCTTCACATTAAGGAGATTTTGTAAAGATCAAAATAAGTGGTAACTAGAAGGTGAAAGGTTAGGTGAATATAGCAACTTAGTAGAACATCCCAATCAAATTGTGCCAATTTTTGTTAGGTCTGCAAAGAGATGTGAAGTCTGACATTGTCCTAATGTTTGACATGCTTCCTTCTGATACTCCAATACTGTATCCAAGTGTTTTTTTTAAATGCTCACATGTGGAGTACCTCTGTGCTATTGTGTGTTCTGGATTATTTTTAATCAGCATTTCAATTTGGTCATCATCAATAATAACTGCAGTCCTGGTGGAATATTCTTGGTTTGCTAGATAAAAATTTGCACTTTGGAACCTAGTGAACCACTTCTGAGCAATACTCTCAGCTATAACACTATCTCCATAAACAGCATATATCTTTATTTTTTTTTTTTTTTTGCTGTTTGTACAGTTTTTTTTTTTTCCTTTCTGGAAATAGGGCATCAAATGACAAAAATGCACCTTCATATCCACTTTTAATGTAAACCTCTTACAATTCACACACAAATTATATAGAAAAACACATTGAAATATCACCTTTCATATGCATTTCATTATAAATTTCAGTTACATTTGAAATAATATTGTGTTTAAACAACACTTATTGAAAAATGCTACAAACTTTTGTTCCCACCTAATATTAATAAATTTTAGTAAACATCAACTTTAATTTTGCAACATAATTCAATTTCACCTTGCATATGATAATAAACTGGAAGATATAACAAAAAAGTAAGTATTAATATTATATATTATGAGTTATGGATTAATGTAATCTGCTCTCATTTGGTACTCCTATACTTGTAGCCTTGTTGCAAATTAAGCTAAGTTTAGTAAATACTTATATTCCAAAATATCAACTAAATCTTAAAATAATTAATAGGAAATGGTTCCAGATTATTAAAAAATAGTTCACTGCTCTTTTGGAATGCAGTTTGATAAATATGAATTTTGTTTTTTTGGTTAATTCGGTAATTGTAATTGTTTATAAATTATCCTGTCTTCGACATAAGCTCCTCTCTTGAATTTAATTAGTACCTAATTTCTGCTAACAACTATCATAAATTACATGTAATTTTTTTTATATTTCTTACTTCGTCAGAATTATCATCATCTTAATATTGTGTGATTCAATGTATGTTTTGATCTGATTTTATTTTATTTTATTTTTTTGTCAGAGATATATTCTATCTTTAGAGGCTGTAAGATTGGACTGTATTTTTTTTCATTTGCTATATTTAACAGGTTAGCTTAAAAGAATTAACCATTTAAAGAAAGCCTTTTCAGAATATTTTCTATGTCCATCTTGTAAGTTTGGCAAGGATGTTTATCCCTTTTCAGAGTTTAAAACATACAAAACTTAGTAAGCTATTTGTGAAATAGCTTACCTCCCTTGAAAACTGATAATTTTTTATTCATAATCTTAAGACTAACTCCTATATTGTATTATAGGTATTTTTTATTGTTTTGAATTATTTACAGGAAAAAATAGTTAAAATATCCTATTCTTTAAATGGTATTTTTAAAATTTCCTTTTAGTCCATTTTATAAGTATTCAGCTTAATGGTCCTGTGTTTGCAAAATCATTAACTGATACTTATTTTGCACAGACCTATTTAAAAAAAATCTCTATGAACCTTTTCTAATTATAATAGGTTCTAAATTGATAGTATATTTATAATTTCTATTCTTATTGATCCTCAGTTTCCAAATAAGCATTGGATATTAGAAAATACTTAATGATGAAACAAAACAAGATTAATGTAAATCATTTTTCAATGTTCATATTATGAAAAATATTTTTCTTAACATGACATTTAGTAATATAAATTTACTTCCTCTTAGTTTTAATTGTTTGATGCCAGAATGTTGGCGCTTTGCTTTGTGTTAACATTTTCTGTTATTCAACTTTGTGCACTCATCCTAAGTATTTCTAAATTCAGTCCTTGATTGGTGTGGAGCATTGTTTTTTATGTGCCCCCTCTTAAAAAACAACTTCATGCAACATCACTTTAATACAATCAGATAACATACTGATTAAAATATGAATTTAGAAACACAAGGATGTGTGTACAGTTAAAAAATAAAATGTTACCCAAACCCAAATTTTTAAAGGCATCAACTGAATATTTTTTATTAAACGAAAAAAAACTCTCTCAATAATTCATAACTTAAAACCATTAACTATTAAACAGGTGATAAAAAATTGTTACTCTGACCAAGCAGCACTTCAGAAAAATTCTGATGCTTGTTAATTTTGTCAGATTTTGGGATTGGGTCAGGTTAAGAACTTCTCTGCACCTCTTATAACTTTATTTCCATGTAGTTTTTTGTTGGACTTTAGTGGTATCATTTTGTTAGTTTTAAGTTTCAGTTTCCTTCATAGTTAATTTTTATGTTTCTTGACAGTTAATATCACACCATGAATTTATCACAGAATCACTATTATAAAGTATTATATTTATTAATGTCTCTTGATGCCAGTGAAAATTTTGCATCAAAGGATAATGATAAAATAATTCCTTCACACATACATATGCTTTTATTTTGTATTTCAGAAAAGGGTCTCTCTTTAGGTATGTCTTTGGGTTTTAATCTGCTGAGTTTTACACCCCCAGGGTTTCTGTCTACTGGTTTTACCTTGTCAAAATTAAGGGTGGATTTCATCCTAAACTCCGTTCATATGTTTCAGTGCGCCGTGTGCCGCCACATTTCTCTATGGCACCTGAAAATGTGGATGTGCAACCAGGAGCCGATGTCAATCTCACATGTGTGGCAGTCGGCTCCCCAATGCCACAGGTCAGGTGGAGACAAGGTGCCAGAGAACTCACTGATGAAAATGAAATCCCTATTGGTCGGAATGTTTTGGAACTCAAGAATGTCTTAGAGACCAAAAACTATACATGTGTAGCCTCATCCGATTTGGGGATTATTGAAGAAATTGCTCAAGTTAGAGTTACCGGTAAGTACTTTTTTTTTTTTTCTTTGTTTGTTTCCTTAGTTAATTTTCTTTTCTTGGATTAAAATGTTAGAAAGCAAATTATTAAAGATTTTATTTACACACTTTTCCTGTAATGGTGGCACTTGTATGTGGAAAACAATGGACATTTAAAAAATTTTTTTTTTTTTTTTTTTTTTTTAAATTATTGTTTTTTGTTGTGGTGTTAGTTTATGTTGTCCATTTTTTTTCAGAAAGAGGAGAAATATGATGCAACTTACACAATTTGGCACTTCATTGTGTTCATTTTTTGTCTTAACTTCTATTTCAAATATAATCATCATCTCTTTAACAACAACAAAAACATGAAGGAATACATCAACTGCCTTATTTGGAAAATTAAGAGTATTTTCCATCATAGGATTATTTACAAATTTGAACATTTTAAGGTTTTAAAAAGAAAAGAAAAATTATATTGAAAATCTTCAAGAATAAAATAAGGTAACAATATTTAGTATAATGTGAGAAATTTTATAAAATACTTAAATTTTTCATGATTTTATACTTGTGTTCATTTCCTTATCCTTAAGTTCAAATTTAATGTCTGTCAGAAATTTAAAATATATTCAGTAATGTGTTTACAAATTATATAACAATTTGCATTAAAAAGATAGTGTGCTTCAGAAGGTTTTATCTTTTTGAAGTAATGACTTTCTCATTTAGTTGACAGTGACAATAAAACAGTTCCTCATATTTTAATGATTTATCTTTGTAAATTATTATTCTGCTTTTACTTTTGTCATTATTTCATATTAAGTTATTCATCAATTATCCTGCTAGGAACAACTTTACATATAGCATAGCTTTTATGATCTGAGTCTTTAGTTTCATTGCTTAAAAAAAGAGCACGTTAAAAAAATGCTATTGAAAATGTGCAAACAAATTTATAAAGATGACCAAATTAATTGCTTTTGTCCTGTATTAAGGATTGTATTTTACCTTGTTTTATTTTGAGACACAAATTAAGGCTTTTCAATTGTAAGAACATTTAGTATTTAATTAATCCCTGGAAAACATGGTCCTCTTTCCAGTCTGAGCTCATGAAAGAGTTTTAAATAATTTCATTATCATTGTCTAAATTTCCAAATATTTGATGAAAAATTCATAAATAAAATTTTAGAGTAACCATAACTTGTAAATTTTTAAATTGAGTCTATCTGCTTAAATTTCAATTGTTTCATAGTATTTATTAAGATATTAAATTATGTAATTTTTTTAATAATATTAATCTGAATAGAAAAGTAAATAATCTCTTAAAAAAAAGTAGCTATTAAGTCTGAGTAAACTTTTGATATAAAAATTCTTGTTTTTAGCATTTTAGATCAGAAATTTTCACATGAAATGTAACCCACATTTATGATAGTTGTTTTTTGAAGAACCCTTTTATATGAAGACTATTAAGTGTATTAAATATTAATAAATCCATTTATTAAAAATTTATTTTGTAAAATATTTAAAAGACCTGTTGAAAAGAGTAAAATTACAAGTTAACCTGATTGTATAGGAGAGATTATAAATAATAGCATAGAAAAAAAGTGATTATGAGAAATGTGATTCCAAAGCAAATGGTTTTCTTATAACTTTCTGCTTTTGTTCATCATTATTTCATCCATTTTACCTTGAAAAACATGTGTAGCAGATGATTTTATATACATAACCAAAATTATATTATATCAGAATATGATTAAGAATCATATTTGATTAATAAGATATTTAATTTCAATTTAAATTTTTCTGAAATTTTTTTTTTTTTTTATTTATTTATTTTTTTTGGACAACTCCAGTTGTATCCATATTCTCACTGCTTCAGCTCTTACTGTCAAAATTTCTCTTTGCAAAAAATACAAAGACCAAAAATAGAAATAAAATAAATAGAAGAAATGTTTGCTCCATGTCATAGGTTTGTTGCTAAATGATTGACTTGCTTTTTGCACGTCTCTCTTATGTGCGTGTGTGCGTGTAAGCCCATACTGTTTGTCTGCTCTTTGTTGCCTCCCCTTGATTTAAATAGACATCAATTATTCTGTACCATGTTAAATATGGTATACTTACAAAGGCAGAATATTTATTAATTCATTCTCAATTTCCACAAATTGATTCTTCCATATATATATTTTTTTTTTACCTTCCTTTATGGAATTTATATTTTTTCATATTTCTACTTGATAATTTTCATGTTTTTTTTTCTGGACTATTTTTGTTTATTTCAGCAAACCAAAATAATTTTTTCCTTCAAAAATTTATCTTGAAAATTCTAAGACCTTTTGTAACATCAAAAGTATTTTACATTATTTTTATTTAAAAAATAAAATAATTTTATATTTATGAGAATATTTAAGGGACAGCTTACTTTTTACAGCTTGCTTGTTCTAAAGGCAATTTCAAGTTAGGTTTGTGTAGAAAAATTCTATCTTGTTACTTGTAATATGAAGTAGATTATTATTCATTTAAATCACAAACTTTAGAACGTTTAATTTTTTGTCATTTGTAAATTTTAAAAACAATCATTCTCTAAAAACTTATTACCATCAGAAATAAATTAAAAAAAATCTTTTTAATGTACACATTCAAATAACTAGAATTTTTTATTTAAATTTATCATTTATATGGACAGATATATAAATAAATAAATCTATAATTTACTATCTGTTTTGATAATTAGCATTTAAAAGATTCTCAAAATAACTATTATTATGCTTCAAAAATGAATTTTTCTGGAATCTTTTCTCTTGAGACAAGTTTACCTTTTATGAAGTTTATTTTATTTTAAATGTTAATGTAAGAATTTTAAAAGTTAGTGTAAGAAAAATTGGACTAATGAGATAATTATAAACAAAGAACTGTTTTTAAGGAATTATTCTTAAAATTATTAAAAATAATATGACAGATTTTAACCAAAAATAAGGCTTGCTTAACTAAAATTATCTTAAAAATCAAAATTACTTTGTAAATCATTTTCATTTATACTAAAAGCAAGTTAAAATATCCAAATTGTTTAGATTAAATGCTATCTGAAAAATTTATATAAACTATTTTAATTGGTTTTAAAACTGCTTACTTGCATTTTTTTCATTTACTTATTTTCTGATAAATTCAAAATCCAATTTATTTGTCCCTCTAATGCATTTGAGGGCATTTTCTTTTATTTAATCTTTATTTTTTCTTTTGAGCTGTATATATTTTTTTCAGCCATTATGTCTTAATTGTTGGCTGTGATGACTGTGGAGGCTGTACGCCCAGATATTTTGTTACTGTCTCTTTCTTTTTGGCACTCTTCAGTTTTTTTTTGTTTTTTTTTTGTTTTTTTTTTTTAATCATTTAGTTTTTTTTTCTTTTCTTTTGCACTGGCTGCGGCATTTCATTACAATTACAGGAATCTCAAGTATTTCAGGTTAAAATAGTGTGTATGTTGTCATTTTTGTTAAATGTAAACCATTTTCAAGTTTTCAGCTGTATTGCAAAGATTACCAAAAGATGCACAATACTAAAACAAAAACAAAAAGACAGTAATTGCATGATACAAATCCCATGTATGTATATACTAAAATTTACCTATGTGGTTTGCAAATGTTAAATCTTTTAGTGTATTTATTGTCATGTAAACAGTGTAATTTAGTAATATTGCACCACAGAGAAATTGGTCATATTGTTTAAGAGGTTGTAAATCTTGAAATTTTTTTTCTTTAATTTGTAAGTATCAATTTAGATTTCAATATTTCTTCTGTCAGGTAATGTTTTTCAATATTGGTGTATCAAATTATGAATAATCATTCAGCAACAATTTTATAGATGATACATAATGTTCTTTGCAAATTCTTCATTTTTTTATGACTTTGAGATTGAAATGAAATTCTTTTGGCATTAATATTGCAAACTTCAGAATCAAATGACTCAAGATTGTATTGAACTTGATAATTTAGAAGTTGTATACAAGAATTATATAAATACAGCCTGCTTGGAGTACTTAGATAAACACAACAGCATTTACAAGATAAAAGGAGGGGGGGGGGAAAATGGGAACCTGAAAATAACAAAGTGAAAGACAAAAAGAAAAGGATAAAGGAATAGACACCAAATGTAGCTGGAAAAATAATGTAAAATTATTGTATAATCACTATTGCATCTCTGATAAACCTAGCATTTGAAATCCTGTTTTATAAGAATCATATTTGTCACAATATAGCAATAGTTTTTAAAGATGAATTAATATCTTTTAAGGCAGACAGATATCAGATTTAAGTATTAATACTGCCTAGTGCCTCTGAATATATATATATATATATATATATATATATGTGCACTAGAAAATAAGTGATGAACTATCTCAGGATAAATATGGTCAAATTGCTAGAAAAAATTTAAAAAAAATGAATTAATTTATGATGACAATTTAAACACGGTATATGACCAGTGAGAAATAATTTTTCTTGGTGCAAATGTGAATTTCTTAAATTGGCATCTGAACATTTTTTTTGTTAATCAGATTTTCTTACTCATTATTTAAAAAAAAAGGAAAGAAAAATTCTGTATTGATTTCTAAGTTGATATTGCAATTATTGAATAAGATGGATTCTTAGAATATGAAACATTTTAGATTCTGCTGAAATATGCAATTTATTGGATGCTCAAAGCATGTATATGCACTTTTAATTGAAATGTTTTTAACAGCAAACATTGTTTCATTTTTGTAGCATTTGAATTTTTTTTGTATGTATTCATTTATATAGAAATTGTGTTTTAGCTTATTAAAAGATAACAATCACAGTCTAAAAATACTATACCAATGTGTGCATGTGTATGTAACAGAAAAACGGAGACATTATTTTTGTATGAAAATATAATGAAATAAACCATTATGAAATGTAGATATGGAAGTGAATTTCAAATTCACTGGCAATTTTTATGTGGTAATGCATTTCATTATGAAAGTAATGTTCATTTGTTTCTAATAGTCAATTAATAGAATTATTTAGTATTAAACTTACCTGAAAAGTTGATAAATAGATCCCAGTACTGTCCAGATAACTACTACGAGTTATCTGAATCACATCGCAGATTTTGATGGTAGTACTTTCCCTCTTTTGCATTTAGTTGATTGAATCTCATCTTGCAAGTCTTCCACTTCTGTGTTTATTCACTTTGTTCAGTTGTAATCTCAAGTTAGTTTTTTTTTGGCTGACCAGGACCTAGATTTTATCTTTCCATCTAAAAGAAATCATTAAGTAAATTGAATATTGTTTGGAAAAATAAGTGAAATAGAGTAAAAACGAAAAAAATAATATATATACTGTATAATAGAACTTGATCTCAGAAATAGACCTTCTGTTTACAATGAAATTTAAGATTTATTTTAAAAACTTAGAACTTCTATATCTCTTATCAATTTATAAATAATGTTCCTATATGAGTGCATTTAGTAGCTTTTTATTTTTTGTTCAGTTTATCTTTTGTAATACAGTAAGTACTATATACATAAGTCACAAAGAACACATATAGTATGAGTGGTACTTTACTAAAAAGTTGTGATTAAGAAGAAGCTTTAACTGGTAATTAATACTGTGAGTTGGTTTTTCACTGGGTGCTCAACATTTGTGGCTCTGCACCAGGGTTAAGCTTACTCAGTATCTGCAATATAACTTATTGCTAATAGAAACTATGACTAAAGAAGGCTTTATATATAAAAAATCCTAGGATTGGTGTAAGAAAAGAAAAAAGTAATAGAACAATGGTAGAGTAATGGGATCAGCATTGCGATAATTTCAGTGCAGATAAAAAAAATATTGAAATTCCATTCAGTTGTTTTAGAGCACTCTAACGGTCACTATTGTCAGTAAGTTACTCTCTCTCTCATTTATTTCCCTACTCCTCCTCCCTGTAAGCTTGGAATTTACCTATATCAAATTCTATATATGGCATCCATTATTTGTTGGTAATTTTTTTAAAGAAAGAATTGACAAAGGCTACATTATAATTAGTTTAAAAAAATTTTTCCTTATTCTTTTTCCTTTCCTTTATTTTTTTTTTTTTTTTGCCATTTTTTTTTCTTCATTTTAATCATTTTTGGCTTTCATCTTTTTCTCTTTTCCTTTCTATACATTATTTTTCCTTTACTTTTCTGACCATTCAAAATACTTTTTCTCAGGTTTATATTTCCTAATCTCTTATTTTTAGGTTTGTTTTCTCTCTTAGTTTATCTTTTGTCTCTTGTTTTGTCATCAAATCTTTTGTCAATTAGTCCTAGCCTTTTTTTTTCTTCTAGATTTCTCATATAATTTCCTGTTCCAAACTCTACTATATTCCTTTTTAGAATAAGAGATTATTAGAAACTGAATAAAATAATTTTAAAACCAATTGAAAGTAATTTTTCCTCCCCCACCACTTCATTTTTTATTTCTATTTTTTTTTTTTTTTTTAAAAGATGTTTCTGTGTCGCATATTGATATGCTGCCTTTTCTTCTATATCTTCTTGTCAATATTGTCTATCACTAAGGAGTGATGCATCTGTTCAATGAGCTACATACTTTTTTTTGTTAGTTCAGTTCATAAGTTGTTTTATTCTTTTCTTTGCCCATAAGTCTTTTATCCATCACTTTGACAAAGGTATGAAAACTTCCTCCAAATTGATTTATTTTACAAGCACTATAAGTAAATGGCAAAACAATAATTACACTGTATTTTGTTAAAAAATTAATTATTATTAACAAGAATATGGTTAAGACTACTATGTAGACATTGATATAAGCAAGTGTCATTTTATTTGACTGATTTATTTTATAATCACTGTAATAGCTTAACACAAGGTAGCAGAATAGTTTTTCATTTAGGAAATTATCAGCTCATGTAAGAAGAGGATTTCAACTTTTAAATTCTTTTCATTTATCTTGTACAATATTTGTTCATCTGTTATAACTGTATTTTTAACTGTAACTAGCTGTATTTTTCCTCTGAATTAAAGCTGCTCTATTCTATAGTCTCTTAAAAGAGTCTGGAGGGATTTTTTTACAATCCTGTGCAAAATAGAAACCTGTATTTTCGTATTACCACAATTTGCTTAATTAAATCTTAAGTTTTAAAAGAATTGACTCAAAATGATTTCTAGTTTACTTGATACTTTTATGATATTGGCACATTTTTATTTCTATATTTGCTGTTTTTAATTTTTTTAAGTTGTAAATCTATCTTAGATGTAGCATTCAAGTAATTCCTTTTTTACTAATATATAAAATATTTTAACAATTGTGTGTGTTTGCATGAGGATCATTTTTTTTTTGTTTGGCTATAAATACTTTTTTATAAACTGTAGTAATGATCATTAAAACAAATTCCCAACTTAGCATTTTAACAGTTTCTTAAGGTTTTTCAGAATTTTATTTTTTGCAAAACTCAAGTTGATTTTTAGAATTAAATCTTATATTGGTGAAGATGTATTTTATGCATATCCACCAAACATAAACTAATCCTAAAGTATCTGATATGTAAATAATTGCAAAGATAGAAGAGATTATGAATATCAAAATTTGTTTGAACAAAAAATCAAGCAACAGGTCTTTTAGATAAACTTTGTTAATAAATAAAAAAAAAAATAATTTGATGTAATAATAAGAAAAAATGGTCATAGTTTGATTGTATATGGTAAGAAAAAAATCAGTAAAACATTTTTATCATCAGCAGGGAATAAGTCAGTGTTTTGCTAAGTAGAAACTAAAATTGTTTGAATTGATCTTTTAAAAGATAACTTTCAGCTCACCTACCAGTAGAAAATTAATTTTAGGAAAACTTAATGAAATATTATAAAATAACAACATAAGTAAACTTATCAGATCAAAGAAAAATATTGAAAACAAAAAAAGGAAGAGATAATATCTTGAAACAAAATAAAACTGGAATATATAGAATATTAAATCACTTAAAACCATCAGGAATATTTCAGGTAAAATTGTGATCATTTCTTTTCATACTTGTATAAATAAATAAGAGAAAAATATAATTTATATGTTTTGTAAAAAGTTATTTTTCTTTTAAGACAAAATATAGAGAATAGAATGAGAAAGAATTGTTTACTCACTGATAAAAGGTCTCACTTTTAAACTTCAGATGTGAAATATTTGTAATTTAAAAAAAAAATTTCCTTTTCTTCTGATCTTGTAGAATATACCTTTGTAAATCTCACTGTTTTGATAAACATCAAAGTGTTATCAAAAACATTTTGAGGATATCAGATCATATAATTTTCTTTTTTTTCTTTTTTTTTTTTCTTTTTTTTTTTTTCTTCTTTGAAAGAATTTATAATATGAAATATATATGAAAAAATAAGGCAATAAATACAAAGTAGACTCCTCTCCGTTTTGGTAATTTAAAATATTTTCATAGTAATGATTACACAGTGTTTAAAGTAGTAGGGTACAACCAGTCATAGTTCCTTCCATCTTCTCCTGTCTATTCCTGGTAATTTGTCACCCCCTTCCCTGTATATGCAAAAGTCAAAAAGTCTGTGTATGTGTGTTTGTGCCATAGTTTCTCCAGGATCTTTACTAAACTCTTACCTCCCAGTTGCCTGTGCTGCTGCTGCTACTGATGATAATAACTTGGTCCCTCTGGGATGGATGAATGTTTAGATGGGTTTTCTTCTTACTACCCTTAGTCTCCTTGTTCTTAGATCTTCTGCTTATAGCAACAACTAGTAGGTGCCCCAGAGATATTGCCATGGCAACCAGAGAGATGAAATTTTCATGCTGCTGGTCTTAGACTGCAACCAATGGTAAAGCTTGTTTTAACTGTGTGCCAAGTAAGAAACCTTAACATCAAAGTGAAGTGAAATCTTACCCCATCCTACTGTCAATGGGGCTTATGCCTCTTCCACTTTGGACTTTTTCTTTATGCTAGCCTCAACATTGGAGACTTTCTTAACTTAGCCGAGAAAGAAGTGAGTGACAGAGCTGCCATGATGTTTCCATCCGTCTCCTGTCTAGTCCACAGACTGAACTGCACATAAAGGATACCTCGTTGTCACTCTGTGGCAGCAGCACTGTCACAGCTGACTACTGGAATAGATTCAATGTGACTGCTACACACCACAGCACAGCGCTGTTGTGTAGCAGTGATCTGAAAATTGGGATTTTACCTTGGTAGCAGTAGTACTTCTCTCTTACTGCTGGTTGTGTTTCGCTTCTACACTATACTGCAGCACCAGTCAACAATCACAAGGAGGATGGAGGAGAAACAGTCATACTGGCTCTGTTTCTTCACGCTAGCCGTGGTCACCTCCATGGTTTCTGCTGCAGTTCCATCAGCACCTGTGAAACTTACCATATCTCACATAAAGCCTAAATCAGTTCAACTAACTTGGGATAAATCTAATTCAGATGATGTCTTATCTTATATCATACAATACAGGCCATATAGTGATGAAAGCAAGGAATTTAAAGAAATTTCAGGTATTACAAAAACAAGGGGATATAAAGTCCATCCCCTTGAGCCTTATACAAGGTATGAATTCCGTGTTATAGCTGTTAATAAGTATGGACGTAGTCCACCTAGTGAAACTGTACAGGAATTAACAGCTCCTCAAGGTTAGTATTTACTCGCTGTTTGTTTGTTTTCATTTTGTTAAAACCTAAAACAATCATAAGTAGGAATTCTTTGTTTATTAACCATTTTTCAAACAAAATTTGCAAATATTCTAATTTATTGATTGAGCTAAACATTTCCAAAAAGTTGCTAACTAGTTTACTTTTTTAGAATAATATATTTTTATCCCATATCTACATATCTGCTGTATTTTTCACGTTCACTAACATTTGTAGAAACTATTATTAATGTTTCCCATGGATCTACCTTACCTCCTCCTCCTTATTTTTCTCCATCTTCTATAACAACAACAACAACTACTACTACTACCACTACTCTCCATCCATTCTCCAAGCATGCTTGTTCTATTGAACCAAACCCTATCACTGGAATACTTTTTTGGGAGTAGTAAAAATGTCCACAGTTTCCAATCAAGAAAATCAACATAAAAGGATTATTTTGATTACATCATGATTTCATGCAGAGAAGCTTCAGGCTTTTGGGAATTTTTATCTATATTTATTTCAATTTGCCTACACACACACACACACACACACACATTAACAGGACTATGCGCAAGAATTTATTTTTCAACATCTGTTCAAAAGTTGATTTCCAAATGAAAACAATAACATTGTATTGGACCATACTGTATTATTCTCCATTTTAGTTTTGTTTAATATACAGATGGAGTATTACTTTTTCATGTTTGGAAGATGAGTTGAAATATTTTTTCTAATAAACAAACTTTTTATAAGATGGTGATAATATCATTATTGTCTTTTCCATAGTGATAACTAAATTTCTATTTACAAATTTTGTCTACATGTATGCATATGCATACATGAACATTAACTCTGTAGTTATTAGAATATTTTTCTTACATGAAAAATTAATATCAATCACAATATTTTTGACTCACTGTGTCCAATCACATGTAATGACAATTTCATTGAGTCTCAATAAAGATAAACATTTTTAAATCATTTCCACATCTCTTTTGTGTGAAGATGAGCAATCAATACAGACTTCAGCCTTTATTTATTTCTTTAAATCTTTCATCAGTGATGTTAGTGAAAGAAACTCTGCATTTTTTTCCTAGGTGGACTCGCCCATTTCAATTTTTAAAATATTTTTTTTATTGTTCACTTTGTGTCAGTATATCTTTATATATACAGATACTGGCTGTAATCTCAGGAAGGATGCTTCTGCACGGGTTTGCTTGGTTTGTGATACTAACACACTCTTAGGTTGAACAGTTTTTGTAAGAATATGATGATGATGTATTGCACTTTAGCAGCATTGTAAGACACATTTGCTATTAAAATATTCATAAAATGTACGCATTTATAGCATGCGAACTGATGTGTTAGTTATTTTGCTTGGAGAGAGGAAATAACTCTTCTCTTTCCTTTACCATGCTTCTCCATGCTGGAGACATTCCTTTCTCTTGATCTCACTCACACACACACACACGCACACGCACACATTAATTTTGACAATTTCATTATTCACTATCAGTAAAAGCTTGATTTAATTTGATTAAATCAACCCCTTTATAAATATTTTATTATTCTCTAATAAAATCTAAATTTCTATGAAATTTAGATTTAATCACAGTTAGTAGATTTCCCTTTGTTTTTTTATTGGATAAATAGTTTTGAGAAAAACAAAAAAATTCATTAGTTTCTTGTTAGAATTAAGAACAAAAATCAATTCCATAGAGATTATTATTTTTCATGACTCACCACCATTAAATGCAAGGCACAAGATATTGTTCTTATTGTCATTCCAGTGAATGCCTTGTTCACCTGATTTAAAGAGTGGAGGGGGATCAGTTTATTTGATATTAATCACTATAAAATTAATGCCCAAATGTGTCATGATATTGAACTTCCTTGGCCTAATAATGTGGTGAAAAGAAATCTGCAGATATGTAGAAATGGTTTGTTTAGAGAGAAACTTTGGCCTCATATTTGTCTGGGGAAAGAATGTGTGTGTGTGTTTGTGTCTGTGTGTTCGTCTACAAGTTTTTCTCTTGTTTGTCCTGTATTATACAAAGCCTTGTTAGTCTCTTGTTCTCTCTCTCTCTCTCTTCCCTTTCTCTTAGTTATCACTCTTATATCTAAAATTAATTTCAGTTTTCTAATATTCACATCAGAATGAGTTTTCTATATAAAAATATAATTTTCATATCTAATTTTAAAACATTTAGTTATTTTTTTTTGTATTTTTTACAGTTATATGTATTTTTAATATTCTTAAAAAAAAATGCAGCTCATATAACATTTAAAAAAAATAACTATAGATTATTATCCTTAGATAAAACAATTTTAAGTAAACATGCTTTGCATAAACAGGAGAGATATTAAAATATCTATTGATAAATATTAAAATCAATAACTTTGTCATAGCTCATATTTCCATAATGAAAAAAATTAACAATGAAAATTAGTAATAAAAACATTAAGAACTGTACTGAATTTAGCAATAACACAATGATTATTTAGAAATATAATATAGAGTTGATTTGATCATTTCAATATATAGTTATTTTTTTTTCAATATTAATAGTCTATTAAAATATAGTTCAACCAAAGTTAGTGAGACTAATAATTAATATAAATATCAGTGTTTAATATTCTGCTTAATATCAGAATTATTATTTCACTACATTTATTATATCTGTGTTTATCATAAAGTTTTAAAAAGAAAATAAATCTAACTAAGTTTAATATCAACAAAAAAAATACAAGTGGGGAAATGTTCAAAGAACATTATTCTTATTTCATGAAATTGAATTTTTGGCCTGATTCAAGTATTAGTAATATTTTGTAGAAAAATATAGTTTCTAATAAAGATAAGTTTAAAATTATTCACAAGTTTTTTTTTAATTTTCAGGATAGAAGTGAAATACTGAAACTTGCAAAAGCCAATGTTTCATGTTTGTAATTTGAGAAGTATATCCTGTTTTGATTAGCCTGAATTGTTAAAAGTGACAAGTCAAGTTTTGTTAATAACTGATGTCAGTACTGAAGAGAATGCTACAATTAATGCTTATAATCTTAAAATGTATATATGAAAAATTGAAATTTCTTAACTTTATGAAGCAAAAGTTAAACTGTCCTTTCAGTATTTTGTTTTTATGAAAATATTTTCTAGTTTTTTCAATTATTCAGTTTTGTCCTTAATTTAAAGCCAAGTCTAAAATGTTGATAAACTTCTTTGATTTAAATAAGTACAAAGAGGTATGAATGGAATACTCTAACCAATTGGCTGAGTCTTTCTTTGAATTTTTTTAAAATGCTTAACAACCCCCCCCCATCAATCTGTAATAGGAGGAGCCTCTGAATCTAAGCCTGGCCTGTAAAACTTTCAAAAGGAGGGACAGTCTTCTGGTGCTGTCTTACTACTAAACCAATTCAAAATGAGGCCTTCTTGTATCTGGCCTAGACATAGGCTGGGATGGGATGGGTTGACCATTACTTATTTTAGTAATGCTGGTACAGCTTTAGCTAATCTTGTGGTGAAAGCAACCTGCTTTGATGGACCAATGATTTTCTGGCAAGGAATTACATGGAATTCTTCAGAAACTCTTCTTTGTTCCAGTTCATCATGGAGATTTTAGATTTATCAAGATTTTTTCAAAGTTGTGCAATCCATCAAAGCAATTAATCTTTGGTTTTGACTTTTACTTTTCTCATGACTTTTTTTAATATATATTATTTTATTTTTATACAATCTGGAATTTTACAGATGCTTGTATATTTTACAAATAATTTTATTTTGGAAAGATTCTTTAAGAGTAATTAGAATTTGTGGCATCTTTTAAGATGCGTTAAGGAAAATATAATGATTTTTTCCTCATTGTTTTGCAAGAGTTTGTACTTTACAAAACTCTTTATATACCACTTATCTTTAAAAGGATAAACATACTCTACATAATGTTTAATGATTTATAAAAGTAAAACAACTTTATTTTCAGTGGTTAAAAATGTGATGTATTTAAATAGAAACTGCTTTATACTGCTGCATTATTGAAGTTATTTTATTGGTTAATAAGATATTGTTATGGATATGGAAGGAAGATTTAGTGGAAGACATGATTAAATTATAAAAAGGGTATTAAAATGTTAAACAGAATGTTAATTAATTCAGTAAACTAGTTTTTAAAATACAGACCCATAAAGCAGCAAACAGTTTTTGCAAGGCTAAGTGATGATAAATTCTTCAGTTGATTTATAAGAAAATAACTAATATTTCTTTCTGTTCCACTTTTAAGTGTCATTTTTCAGCTTTGAAATAACTGTATTTAGAAATCTGCTGCTGGTGTACTGTTAAAACTTTTCTCTTGTGTTGGGTTATTTTGCATAAAAATGTCATGAACATCTAGAGTTCATATTGATTTGAAACTTCAAGGAAGATACGTTTAAATGACAATCAATTTACTTTGTGTTTGGAATTATAATAAAATACTTTTTCTGAATAAAGTTGCTGTATATATTAAAATAGTTGTAAAATTTTACATTATTTTTTATGAAAAAATTTATTTGAAAAATTAAAAAAATAATATTTCTATAAAAAAATGTTTGTAAATTTTTCAGCTTTTGGCATTTTTATAATATGCAAGCAACTTTTTTTTTTTTTTTTTTTTTTTTTTTAAACCCTTATTTGAGATTTCTGATAAAATTTGATGATATATTTTTATACTGAAAATTAGTTCATAAAACTCACAAGTAAAATTTAGGTTTTAAAACACAATAATAGATCGGTTAAATATTTTCTATTTTGTAACATATTTTTTTTTTGTTTAACTCTACTTTTGATAATAAAAGACAGGAATGCACTTTTAAAATCCTTTATTTTTATCAGTGTAAGATTGAAAGTTAGAATTCTTAATAGCACTATTGCCTTGTCTGTCTCTGTTTATTCCCTGTGTCTTGTCCAAATATTTTTGTCCTTTCAATGTATCCCCATGAGCCAGAAAATTTAACTTCTTCCT